TTTTGCTTTATAATGAAATTTAAATATTACATTGACTTCCCAAGCTGTCAGCAAAATGATGCTGTATAATTGTTTATGGCTGCCAAAGGCAGTACTGTAATACTGTAAGCAGGTTTTAAAAGTTCAAGGCAAGCATTCTCTCGTTACCGTACGTTGAAAACCAGCTAATGAAAAGTTTCAAATACAGAGTTTTGACTCTCCAGAGTTTTGGATATAGAGTTACTGGACAGTAAAAACTATTTACTGTATTTATGTAAGGCAAAACCATGCAAAAGCAGGGTATGTACAACTGTTTGCAAAAAAACCCTCACCCTAACGATGGTAAGCGTGCCTATGTTCCCACAGCCCTATGTTCACACATTTCTAAGATTATTTTCAAAATTAGGCCCTATGTTTCTACATTTCCTTTTTAACCCTAACCCTAACCCTTAATGTGGGAACATAGGGCTGTGGTAACATAGGTCCTAATTTTCAGTGAAAAAAAAAATTCTTAGAAATGTGGGAACATAGGGCTGACCCCATAACCAGAACTTTGTAAACTGTGACTCTGTTTTAGTCTGCTTTGGTATTTCGATGCATTTTGTTAATCGGTTTTGGTTGAATAGGATGAAAGTACATGTTTAATGAAAGAATAAATTGAACGTTGAAATCAAGCGATAACGATAGAAAAAAAAACACGCACACATACTTTGGCTTTTATAGAACATAAAGAATATATCTAACATTAAACATTATTATTATTGACCAATAATTTATTGGCTATAATTTCATTATCAAAATATTATTTAATAATATGTTGATAACTTATCACAGTAGTATGGCAAAATGTCGGACTGTTGACAAATGTATATCATCTTACTGTATCATCGTACTGTATTGCTGTACTGTGTCAAGAAAGCTGCAGGCCTCCTGTATTTTCACTACTTATATACAGTAACCAATACAGCTGCCATCAAGATAACATGGCTTGACACTTATCTGTGTGATCACTGAAGTTGCTGTTTTGTTGGAAAACCCCAATGATTGTGTCTTTCTTTTCACTTTGTTGAGCTAAGTATGTTCATACTCTTATAGTGTATCTAACCGTGTTCTCTTCCAGTGTCTCTGCAAGCGCTGAGAAGAAAGAAGTGGTACGAGAAACATCTCAAGTACATTGACTGTGCAGTTAAGGCCATGAGGTCTGCTCAGGAACACATGTAAGGGGAAAAATATCAGCACAGGTGGTCATTTTGAATTATTGACATGAATACCTGAAAGAAATGGAGTTGAAGAACTCACAGAATATATGTGGATGTTGTCTATTTCCATGTGATACCATGAGTTCTGGCTCCAGCTCACTGCAATGTTGTAACATCCTCTTTTTGTGTACATACATGTAGTTAAAGTGAAAGTCAATTGAGACAGGAACTCTGCTGGACGTTTCAGAGATATCGTCAACAAGGTGAACGAGCTGATCAAGGACATTACAGAGGAGCAGGATGAGACTCGTGACATGTCGGACACCTTCTACACATCTGTGAGCTTTGGAGTAGAATTTGATGAGGTACAAGAGAGTTACTATTTCACAAGTTTTATTTCTGTGTGACTTATCTTTTTGACTTACTGTTTATTTGCACAGAATAGTGTGATTCTGATTCAGTCATCATTTGCTATATCATGATGTATATATCATGTTGATGGAAAAAAAAAAAAGTTATTAATAAAGCCACAGGCAGCCATGCAGGGTTCAAGTCATAACAGACTGTTTCAACAAATTACAAAATAGTTTTACACACTTAGTTCAATATTGTAATGAAACATATCATTTGAGTTTTGTAATGACTGGACAAACAATTTCTGATTTAAAGTCTGTATTTGTGTGCTGAGCCACGCCCCTCTGAAAGCTCTTTGCTCAGTATCTTGAAAACTAAATAGGCCATAAACAAGTTTTATACAACTCTTGTCATTATAATACAGTATTTTCACCTAGCATCTCAAAATATTAACTTAGTATCACAAAGTCATTATTTTGAGATACTAAGTCAATATTTTAAGATGCACGACTCTTTTTTTGTTGTCACATTTGTGGAAAAGGGTTTCTATAATCGAAGTAGCTACTTTGATAGCAGTCTGACCAATGGTTTAGGAGGAGATGTCAAAAATGTGCTTTACAAAAAATTCTAAATGGCGGAAAGTCTAGTCAGACAGACTCAATGGTCAGAGGCTTTTTTGTACAGCACATTGAGCTGGACATATGTGTCCAATTTAAAGTCAGTCGGAATCAGTGTGAGAGCCGTGGCCTTTGCAAAATTGCATTTTGGACCACCATCTGGCCAATTGGGTTCATGTGTTTTGGGAGGCCTTTGCACATTATTTGCCAGGTTTAATATTTCAAGCTCATTCCAGCACACTGCAGTTTTAGACGATTCCAGCACTAATTCCTAGTGAACAGACCTGTGTGATCTTGGTAAGATCTATTAGGGGCGGCAGTAGCTCAGTGTGTAGGGACTTGGCTTGGGAACCGGAGGGTCGCCGGTTGAAGTCCCACAGACCACAAAATATGGAGTGTGGGACTGGTAGCTGGAGAGGTGCCAGCTTCACCTCCTGTTGCACGATGGTGGCCCTTGAGCAAGCAATATCCTAACCCCAAAAAAACTGCTCATGAGGCTGCTGGTAACGCGGCAGCCCCCTTCCACTCCACCATCTTCTCCCCTTTTGCAATGTCCACATGTGCAGAAGGTGCGTGTGTGTGTATAAAAAAAAAGAGTGAAAAAAACAATTTCCCCCTAGGGGATCAATAAAGTATATCTTCTTCTTTCTACTTCTTTAGAAATGAGCCAGTTGCTGTGTGTGTGTTTCCTTCAGGATGAGCTGCTGGCAGAGCTGGACAGGCTGGAGAAGAATGTGGATGAGAGTCTCTTTGAGAGGGACAGAATGGAGGAGAGAGTCCCTTGTACCAAAGTGTCGCCAACCACATCACCTCCCCGTCCTGGTAAGAACCATCTGGTAGCATCTGGTTAGCGTGGTTGGTAAAGCAGAGGACTTGCTGATGTATCAACTGATTCATGCAAATAGCTCACAGTTGTTTTTGTCTTTTCTCCCCCAAAGCCAAGACAGAGGAAGACGAGTTTGAGGAAGATTTAGAGTATCTGCGTCGCTGGGCAAACGGACCCTTATAAACACACAATCAGCCACAGCACACTAGAGTGCAGGATGGAATAATAAATATGAAATTATACATTATTGTTCATTCACATATGTTTATATGTTTATGTGGACATTTGACTCTATAGCAAAGTGTCAGTGAAAAGGAGCAGGTTATTTAATGCAATGTATTGCAGAAACTACTACTAATTTTTATTGTAGTAAAGTATTATGAGCTCTGTAATACACTAGTATTGTTATTATTATACTATAATTGGGGCATTTGTTAACATGATTTAAAGCTGCAGTCGTTAAACATATTCTTTTTTTTTAAACTGAAACTTTCACTATATCTGTATGACAGTAGTATGAGACTAATAATCTCTGAAAACATTTGGCTCCTCTGGCTCCTCCTAGTGCTCCTCATGGTATTTGCACAAATCCACCAGGCCTGAATGAAAACAGCCAATCAGAGCCAAGAAAGATAGTTCATTCTCATTCCCAGGTTGTCAAATAGACACTTTGGGTCCCTGGAAATAAAACTAAACATTTGCCATGAGGAGCACTAGGAGGAGCCAGAGGAACCTGATGTTTTCACAGATTTATTTATTCTGTCTCGTACTATATATAGAGCAAGTTTCAGCAAATATAAATACATTTTTCATTAAAAAATGTACCTACTGCAGCTTTAATTAGCCAAGAAGTAATGCGACATTACTGAACTTGTCACCTCCCATCATTGTTTCACCTACTCATGCTTCTCAGCAGTGGCCCTTATTATTTTGTGTATTACTACAAATTGATCTTTTTTATATAGGATCTTTGCTGTAGCTGAGATGTTCTTTTAAGGTTTTGTGAAACACAGTGTTGGCTTTGATGCTGTTGGCAGTCAGGGTCCTTACGTTAAGAGTTTTTGTTTCAAATTGCTGAACGTTACAAAAATAAACATTGAATTTATAGACATGAGATTTGAATAATCGATCTACAAAAGAGGAACCTTTTACACAGATATTTTACACTGTCTCATTTACTACTGTCAGGATATAGGGAAAGTTTCAGCAGATATCACAAAAAATTATCTTTATAAAAGTAACCTACTGCTGGGGCGCCCTGGTAGCTCCCATGTACCTTGCTGCAGCAGCCCCTTTCCTTTCTATCTTCAGCCCCAAAATATATGTTTAAAAAAAAGCTACCTACTGCAGCTTTAAACCCAGTATCCATCTACTCCTGTGAGACACTGCATAGGATTAGTGTCTGTCACCCAGACAGAGCGAGTGACGGTAATAGGGAGGGAGTGGCAGAGACGGGGGAGAGGAAGATTGGCAGTAGTCTCAGACAAAGCACAGGCTCATAAATGCATGACTGTAAAGGTGCCGTAGCAAAGGCCGACCAAAATGTGAGCACCATGTATGTGGACTGTACAGCAGCTGACTAAAGCCTAATGGGGTCTGGAGCAAGCCAGAGGCAAGATTCAGGTAGGGGTGAAATACACAGAACCTCCAATGACCTCAGTAGAGAGCTGTGTGGATAGAAATGATGAGTTAATGAGGTAATTCTGTGATTTGAACAGATTGGATTTTCACAATATTCTGTTTGTGTTTGTCCTAAAGTATGGGGAGGTATATCTGTCCACTTACTGTAGATGAGAATATTTTAGTGTAGACTGACGTACTATCCAGATAGCCTTTGAAGCCATAGACTAATTACTTTAGAAGTTATTTGACATGTATTGTCTACCATCAGCATAGATGTAGGATGTGTCCTCATGTACCAAGATACAATGGACTTCAGTAGTGTAAAAAGGTCTGGTGTCTTTTTATCAACGCTGCTGAATATATACCAAACTGTTGATGATCATTGTTACCGATAATCATTCTTCTCTGTGTAGTACTGACATGCGGTAGACACAGCCCTAACACTCTTAAGAAATTAGCACAATCCAATTTAAAAGGTGTTCTTGCTCCTACACACACACACACACACACACACACACACACACAGCTGGAAATCCTTTAGTCAGCAAGTTTGACTCACTTGACCTGCAGGTCAATTCCAGGCCAATAAAAGTCCAGTGTTTACTGTTATATCTGTGAGGAGTGGACTAAGTAGACAGGAACTAAAGGTTGGAGGCTGGAGGAGATGGGGTGTGGGTAAAGACCACCTTTCATAAGTTTCTTGGGTTCATGACTTTTTACCTGGAAAAAAAAAAAAAAGAAGCTGCATATCTGACTGATATTTGGTGTCAGTCAGCGTGTATCTTCCACCTGTGATAGTCATTTTCTCCCTCTTAGTTGCAGAGAGCTCCCTCCCATTACAGTCCATCACTGAGTTGGATTCAGGTAACTCCTCTTCAGGCCCACCAACCATCCTCGTCACTGCTCCATCACGAGAAGATATATACGCCTCGCCGACCAAGATGACTATAGCCGATGCCATCAAAGAGCGGAGGCCTTCTTCCACACCAGTTGTAGTGGGGAAGAAATTCATGGCCAAAAAGTGACTCAGCATGTCCCGTCACAGGAGGTAAAGTGGGAATCAAACATGAGTGAGAGTGAGATCGGAGAGAGCAGCACATACTATAAACTATAAACATAGTAGAAGTATTCACATCCTAAAAGTTGCAGTATTTATAATTGACAATCATATTTCATAGGTTTCACAAAGAGGAACTTTACTGACTCTACACATGGAGATCAGTTTACTTATCATGGGGGAGTACTATTCAGTGTATATAGACAGTTGTTGCTCTGGAGCATAGGTTATTGTAGGTAAGGTATTATAAAAAGTAGAAATCAGATGTCAAGATGGTGCCTATTCAATCCAATGAGAATAAGGCTGCGTTTCGTTAGCTGTTCCACTTCATTGATTCACCCTCAGCCCCTGGCATAGGTCACACAGAGGCCACTTGGAGAGCAGAGAGAAAGTGGGTGGGGGAGCTGAACTGGATTTAACAAACTATCATGGATGAACCCCCATTTGTAGGCCAATCATCAGAAATACCCACAGACTCATTTTAATGAAAAACTGAAACTGAAAGGCAATTTGATCCGTGATATTCATATGGATGAAAATGAGCTCTATAACTTCGACACATTTACTTGTGTAACCTGAAATGCTGATTATGTGCGTTTTCCCTGGTAAATAAATAAAAGTTATAGTTTACACACCTATAGAGTGAGCTCCATTGTTGGGGCTGATCTCACCTAGTTCACTTAAGTGTTGAGATAAATGGAACAAGACTTATGACGTCAGCAGGGATTATCCCGAGGGTTAATTCAATTCAATTTTATTTGTATAGCGCCAATTCATAACAGTTAGTTGTTGGTGTTGAGGCGAAGGGAAGTACAGTGCTGTTCGCCTGCTGCATATGCTAAAAAGAGAGGAGACATAATAGGCCTTGTTTCAACAGTTTTACAGACATGTCTTTTATCAGAATCAGAAATACTTTAATAATCCCAGGGGGAAATTACTTTCGTTACAACTCCAGATCAACATACAACATATATACATACCACATATAACATATTAAGAACATATATATATATATATATATTATATATATATACGATACAATACTATATACACAAGGTAAAATGTACAGTTTTAGAATGGTAATAAATATAATGTATACCACAAGTAAAATGTAAAATGTACAGTTTTGAAAGTGCAGAAATGGTTGTCCGAATTATTGGCTAATGGGCATGTAAGGGGAAAATGCTTTTTGGGCCACAGGGAATGTTTTTGCTGCAGTGGGCCATTGGGGCCATTTTGGTCATTGGGCAAAATTGTAAACAAGGTTGAGTGGTGATGCTGTATACAGGTTCTAAATAATACCTCCATGCTCAGGAGTACGATTTGTCCTGTCAGAGAAAATAAGCTTGATGAAGTAATCAACGTTAAAAGATGAAGGGTGGAAAGATATGGGCAGTTAGCATGCAGGCTCTAATAAAGAAAATGTTCTTACTGGTTGTGTAAAGGATTAGGAAGTATCTTGACCCATATTAGGAACTTAAACCCAGGATATCTAAGCTCTTGCTGCTTTAAGTGTGTCCATTCTTTCAAAGATGCCATATGAGTCCCCCAACATTATAGAAGTGCAAGAATAAATTGCTGCAGTAGCCCTTTAAGTGTTACTACTACTGCTAGTACTTCTGTTACTACATCCATTCTCTCCCAAAAATTGAGCTTTTTCACAGCAGCCATTTTGACATGAAATAGAAGTTAACACAGTTGTTAGCAATGATACTAATTAAGGTTCTGTTCCGTTCAGGTCGTCAAACGGCGTCAGGGTGCTGCTGTTGTGCATGTTAGCACACTGGAAAGGCTTTGCTACACTAAATGGAATTCAACCTTAAATCATATCGTTGGTAACACCTGTGGACTAGTGTGACTGCATCATGCCTTATAAACAAATGGGAAGGCAGAGCTGTTTAAAAACGGACATATATGTATATTTTTTAATTCCAGTCTTCCAAGAATGACTCTAAATGGACTTCACAATAATACAACCCTGCTGCAGAACCGCAGAAGCTACGTGTTTACACACGGTGTCGCTGCCTGTTCAAATCTCCGGGAAAGCACTTTGTTGGCCGTTTGATGGCCCGAAACTAAACAGAATGGCGGCGCTCACCGGAGCGACCGGCTGCCCGTTGAGTTAAAGCCATAACGGTCAATACTCTCGTCTTCTGAGGCTGAAAACAATCATATAGCAAATAATGGACACCGTAGGAGAGGACGAACCGGACCCTATAAAGCTCAAGTCCATCAAGAACAATAAAACCTTCACAGTGCCTCAAAATGATAGGGTAAGAGAATTAACGTTAGCTCCGAGTGTGGAGTGACCATATCCTGTTCAGGACTCTGGTAGTTTAACGATAGCCTGCTTATCCCCGACGGTACAGCACTCTTTGAACAGAAGTTAACACTGATCACATATCTAGATTGGTTAGTCAGAAATTCGGCATCTTTTGAAAAAGGCAACATACAGTATTATAGGAAAATTAGATGTCACTGTGAAGCTGTCTTTCTCTCAATCACAACCCTCATACAAAACTTTATGATGCCATAGCAAGAGCACTGTGAACCGGCTTACTGTATTTAAGAATCCCTTAAAATGTTGTATAAGTTGCAAATTGAAACAGGATTGAAATTCTTAAAAGCTATTGACGATGGGCCGACCCTTTCTGATAAATAGGCAGTCAGTGTTCACTAATAAGCAAGGCAGTTAATAAAATGGCAGATTTTTAAATGGAGTTTGGCATTACTCTTTCTGTGTGAGATATCCTAACTGAGCTAATGAGTTTACACTGTGGAAAAGTAATTAATTAGCAAGGCGCCTTTGCTTTGTAGCTTACTTAATTTTCAGGGTGAAGTCTGTACACTTAACTACGTTACTTCATTCATTGTCCCCAGCATCAGCCAATCTTATTACTGGCTTCCACCAACACATAAGCACCCAACTCTCCACGTCATCAGATTCCTCTGTAAATCCTTGCTGTGTCCTCCTAACCCTCAGAATGCCTCTTTTAGGACTTTGTAAACATCTTTGGGATAGCCTGTGCATTGGCAAGTTGTTTTGTTTTCCAGTTAGGTAATTCCGAATTCCCCACAGAGCCAGTTCTTCTTAGTGGATCAAGGCCACTGTTTACTTTGATAATCACAATTACATCCCTCTATTGATGTCTTGTTGTTCATCACTTCATTTCAACTTCACTAAATATTTACCTAAATTGATTTGAATACACAAAAAAGTCATATGTCGCATGGAGCTATCCAGAGAAAAAGTGCATCTTCCTAGTGTCTGTCCATTAAGCACATTTATTCTTTAAGTGTTATCCTTTAGAGCAGTGGTTCTCAACCTTTTTGGTGTCAAGGACCCCCAAGTTGATACAAACCAGGCAGAGCTGTATATAATTACGATAAGATAAGATGTTGTCTCAGGGATTAGGTAATTTTGTGATCAAAATGCGCTGACTACATAAAGTCTTCTTAACTACTGCTGCAGACGAGCATGACACATGCAGTTCACTGAAGTGCAGAGGGCCTCTGTGCCTTTTCTTGATTTTTTCACTCTCTCTTTCAGTTTGGGAGCTGCAGAAGTGTCAGAGAGTTTGAGAAACTCAACCGCATAGGAGAAGGAACTTACGGCATTGTGTGTAAGTCATTAATGTTGGAAACTATAGATTGGTTCGACAAGGAAACCAAAATAGCAGACCATTTTAAGTGCCAACTAGATAAACTGTCTCTTCTTAATATAGACCGAGCCCGGGACACCAAGTCAGATGAGATTGTCGCATTGAAGAAGGTCCGGATGGACAAAGAGAAAGATGGTAAGAGCTCTAAGTCTGAGTCATATGTGTGTGTGTTTTTAGAGTGCTTTAAACTTGGTGTTTGTGTATGTACAATATGTCCATTAAGATTTTAATATCTCCTCTATACATGTGGACATTTTGGCCTGATGGTGGCGCTAGAGGAGTTGAGCTAGTAGTTCTTGCTCTGGAACAGTGATGGACGTAGCAGCTAACCTTATCATCCTGCGATCCTTCAGTCCACCTTTAGTGTTGCAAAAATATTGGCATGAATTCATAAATTGAATCCCAAGTTTGTTTACAGGAATTGTCCCATGGTGTTAAAAAATCCCTGAACACTTTTATTCCAAGTTTTCTTATTGTTTCTGTAGTTTGGTTTTTAAAATGAGCTGTAAGAGTTGTTGAGCCGCTCTTTCTCTGTCAGGGATCCCCATCAGTAGCCTCAGAGAGATCACCCTGCTGCTGAGACTGAGACATCCCAACATAGTGGAGCTGAAAGAAGTGGTTGTTGGCAGCCAACTGGAGAGGTAGTACACACACACACACACACACATACACACACACACCATAATGATGTTAGTGTGTAAAGTGAAGTAAATGCCCAAGTGTCTTAAATCTGCATTCTTTCTAATAGCCAGCAGGGGGCAGCTCCATGGGCTGCAATAACACACTGATAGTATTGAGTCTTATGGAGAAATTAGCCTACTTCTCACTTGA